AAGCGAATCCTGTTTCCTGATTGGCTGCCTGAGCGGGTAGGATGGGCCCATCTTGCCCACTTTGATCTTGCCCAAAAAAAAAGCGCGTGGAGCGGACTTACAATTTTCGCAACTTTTGCACAATTTCGGCGTAAATAAACGGCAGAAGACAGTTAAATGTCGCATATCAAGGGTTAGGCCTCGTCCACTTTTAAACTTTCCCAGGCCTTGAAAATGATATTGTAAGATTGCATGACATTCAGGGTATTTCCTGTACCTTATGAACCCTGCATGATTTGAATGTAAACAGAAGTGTGCTGTTAGTCTGTTATGAAGTTGTCCATCTCTGATCTCCAGATACGACCCTCTACCTGAGCAATACGCAGGCGTTTCAGGATACTGCGGTTTTGTCTTTTTACCTCGCCATTTGCTTGTGGCCATAAGGGTGTGGTTCACACCCTTATGGCCACACCTCACACCTCACACCTCACACCTCACACCTCACACCTCACACCTCACACCTCACACCTCACACCTCACACCCTGAGCACCAGAATCGATAATCATTGTTACAGGCACACCCCCCTATTTCCACAGAAATTTTGCCATCACTTGAAACATTTGAATAATCTGGTATACCAAATGCATATTCACAGTCACCACTCTGTTTATCTTTAGCTTCTACTTGCCTTATATGATGGTGTCCACCACTCCTCCTTCTACTATCAGGCCTGCGCATTCCTCCAGCTCCTCGGCCTCGGCCACTATTTTGTCTCCTCTTTGTTTTACATACAGCCTAGATATGTCCTGTCCCATTACATTTTCTGCACTGTTTCCCTCCAGCTGAGCATCGGTGATCGTTAGCTTTATGTCCCACATTTCCACAACAAAAACATTTAGCATTCCTTGTGCTCGGGCATTCTTTGTGATCCACCTTTCTGCCCACATTATTAACCCTGTTACTTGCATTGCTTGCTCCTTCAATCGAACGGGCTGTTACTCAGACTCTTCCATAGCACGGGCAATTTCTCTCAATTGTTGCAGAGTCAAGGCTTGACCTTCTGAAGTAACTTTCGACGAAGTTCGTGTGACAAACACTTAATAATAACTTGATCACGAATTTACTACTCCACAGCGTTTGCATCTCCAAATTCACCGGTTTGGGCTTTCTGTCTCAATCTGGTTACAAACTGTTTGACGGTTTCGTTAGTTTCACGAAAACAAAGCCATTCGTACGGAACATTCGTTTACGGTTTGAAATATTTATTTAAGGTCGCTTTCTGATCGTTATCCGACCCTCCCTCTTCGTTTAACATGAAATAAATATCTTGAACATCTAATCCAGCAGTATACAGCAATAACGCCTTCTTCTGATTGACATTTTGAACTCCTCTTCCCTTTGCAAACAACTCAAAAGCTCGCAGCCATCTTTCCCAGCGTGCGGAGATACCAGCAGTTTCAGGGCAGTCAAATGGCTTTAAAAACCGTGTATCGCCTAAATATATACTTGACATCTCGAGCAAAAGCTACTTACTATCGTCCTCGTCGCCAAAATGTAGTGTATTTACAAATTTGACACAAACAGTAAAGAACACCTTTAAAAGGAATCCAACAAGTTGTTTTCATTATTAACATCGCAACACGCATGCTCCGATATACAAACAAGGGGGGTGGGGAGGGTTGACTTAAACATTCAAAAACTCTACAATAATACTTTCCGTTCGATCAGACTGTTTTTGAAGAAAACACTGTCGTGACAGTCTTTGCCAAACTACTTTCGTCTTTTTTTAAAAGTGAACATGCGCAGATTGTTACAGATACTTGTAAAAAGAATGTTTCAAAGTTTGTTTGGAAGCCTTTTAAATCACCTTTATCATTACTCAAATGAAAATCTTTCGATGGAGCATCTCTCAAGTTTAATTTACATCACCTCTATGACTCGCTCAAAAATTTTTCAGTTTATGGGAAATCTTGCCGTATTTACAGCCCTAAATCATTTGGGTTCTTTCGGAGGGAATTTCGTTAAATTTTAAAAACTAAATAAACATGTTATTTACCGTCTAAGGGTCGGTCTGTATGGTCAAAAACTGTGACCTACGGCCTCGGGCAGTATATTCAAGACCTCAGCCACAGTTTTTCACCATACGAACCTCCCAGCCAGCAAATAACATTTATGTATTTCTAATAAAGTTTCGATATAACGCGTGCAGTCATTAGTTGAAAGAGCGTGCTCTATGAGAGTATAGAGCATAGAGCTGAGCTAAAGCTGTCACCCCATCTGCCAAATTGTACTATGTTTGACCTTTTCCGGGACTTCTCTCTGGCTTTTTTCCGTTAATTGAAAGTGAAATTTCGGAACAAGCGAGCCGGCAAGTAGCAACAGAAGAACCAAACAAAGGTTTTTAAAAAGGCCAGGCGCCGTAATTTACGTTATTATACCGTGAGCAGAGACGAAAATCCTCAAGGAGAAAACGACATGGACAGTCCGATATTTAGAGGTTTTCACGCTTAGTTAGGTGGCAAGCTTATGTACGGTAATAAAAATCAAACACAGCTAACACTCGTATAGTAAGTAAAGTTTCCTGATCAAAAACAAAACAGAACAAAACAGGAATGATGAAAAAAATAACCAAACTGGAATAACTGTTAAAATTCATACTAATCATGCCGGTGTCAGAGCGACTGCGATCACGCCGAGGTCCATCGCGGCTAGCTCATCATCGCGATCCTCGGTCATCGCAGTGAAGCAAGGCTCAGGAACTACATCGGGCGCCCTTCGAGTGAAAGAATAATAGCTTGCTCTGATATCCTCTCCGATGCGCGGTCATCCCGAGCGATCTTTATGTTCCGGTGAATTCGGCTGTCGTTCGTTCATAAAACACTCGCCTTGATCCGTTTGTTTTCTACTTGTCATGTGAAAAAACTTGCGTGTTTTTTTATAAGCCACAATTCGGCTGAGTTTCATTAAACATTTCACTTTAAGATTCTGTATTAGAGACTAAAACACTTTAGGCAGAAGTGTTAAATTCGACCTGCCAAACTATTTAATTTAGTTTGTAAACTATTACTGAATGTGAACTTTTGATGGTTTTTTAACTTTGATGATTTGACATTTTTGACAGCTTTAGTCTTGTACAGCCAA